TCCGAAGTTTCCATTTCGCGACCATTTCTCACACCGAAAGAGACGAATGGATTCAAACCATTCATTTGTCGAGCTTTGCGTTCTTGAGATCACTTCAGACATCACTGACGAGACAATTGAGTGATACGAAGACTTGTTCCGATGACTCGTTTGACACCAATTATGACTTAATAAACCACAAAAGGTTTCATTCTTCACTCTTACTGTCCATCAGTTGTGATCACATTATTCTTAACAATAACTACAAGTTTAGTCCAAAACTCATTGTCTTTGTCTACTACAAGACAATAGAGAAGTTGTGGCAATATTTGGGGAAAACAGAGATTTCTAATTCACGAAATCCTCGATTCGTGAAGAGTTTAGTATTTCCTCAAACCATCCATCAATTGGCGACAATTGAATTGAAATTCAATTTCTATCACATTCTCGAAACCATCACTAATACGAAATGCCTTTTATGTCAGTCTCACCTCAAATGTCACACATTTGCCAATAAAACCAAATCTATTCAGAGGATTGATTTGAAGTCATTAGTCAATAAGCAATCGATTGGTCAAAATCGGTATTCAGATTCAGTAAGTTGTCAATTAACACTTGTCTCAAATGCATTTCAATTCAGAAAACTATCAAACCTAGTTAACAAACTGAGATTTATATTAATAAACTTATGTTTATTGAGAGGTCTAAGCAAATCCATAATTGCCACCAATTCTTTGCCAAACCTTTCAATTCTACATTCGTTTGATAAGATGTCTAATTTTGAGCACATTTTGAATACAAATCTATTCACAAATACAATTTGCAAATCATTTCAATTCATAATTCCTAAACAAAAGACAATTGCATTTATCGATGAGTTTATGTCGGAATCGGAGCTGTCATTGGTTTTGCCGCAGACTTTAATGTGAGTTGAAAATAGTGTTCATTTTTTAAATAGTGTTAAATAGTATTCATAATGTTTTGTACAAACTTTAGGAATATCTTTATGAACGACGAGAAGAAGTTAATGAATTGCATCACGTATTCCATCGGAGAAGTCAAGACTGAGTTTCAACGCAACCAAATGCGAGCTCTTGAATGTCACCTCAGATTAGTGAACGTATTGACAGAATCACTGAATGAGATCAGTCTCTATCAGACACAACACCACTTCAGACCCTCGACAGCTAAAAGCGATTTATTCCTTCAGTTCATTCCATTGAACTTTCATTTGCAGAGATGTCTGGTCTCTGAATCCGATTCCGTTCGGCGCAAGAGTCGCGATATATTCACTGTCGGCGCCTATTGTTGCCATTACTTAGGCTTTGGAAGCGGAGGAATGAAAGAAGTGTTTGATTCCAAGAGCACGACAAATAATATGTCATTATCTAAGACTTGGAATTCAATGAAGAATTTCTTTAAAATTAGTTCACTTCGAGACAGAATTTATTCCGATTTGAAAGCAATGATTAATTGCATTGACGACCAAATGGTTGATATTCAGCCACTTTTGGAGAACTTTAATAAAGTGGACGAACTCTGCAAAGAAATCGCTTCTATTCTGAACTCAAAACAAGTGGAGGAATCGCTCTCTTTCTGTGAATCTGTTCGCGGAAACGAATCCATCAATAGCTTAGTTTGGAGAACTTTAATAAAGTGGACGAACTCTGCAAAGAAATCGCTTCTATTCTGAACTCAAAACAAGTGGAGGAATCGCTCTCTTTCTGTGAATCTGTTCGCGGAAACGAATCCATCAATAGCTTAGTGGACACTAATTTTATGAGCTCTTCGTTTGAGAGAACAGTGTCTTTGGAAGAGACGCGGAAGACAACACATTTTGATGTCAAAGATTTGAAGAGACATCGATCTCTCCCAAGCGATGAACAGCAAGAGTTAGAACCAATTGATTTGATTCATTTGAATATAAAGGCATCGCTTATTAGTATTAATAGTAAACTCTCGAACAATAAGTTAAATCTTTCGCGAAATGATTTGAATGCAAGTGAAAAGAAACTGAAGAATGCAATCGACTCTCTGTTTAAGACATCGAGTATTTGTTATGCGAGTTGTGCTCTTAAGTTAGATCGGGAACTCATTGAACACTTCTACCGCTTACGTCTTCGGCGAGATATGATATTCACTGAAGCGCTGACGGCTCTTATAATCGGCACTCTCTCTAAACTTAATTGCCATTCATTTATGCAAAGAGTGATTCAAACGAGAACTGTATTATCGCAACACGAGGCACTCCTCAGTTGCTACGCTGAAGAGTTATCAATGCTGGAGGACATGAACTACGCTATCAATCAAATCAATACTTCAGTCAAATTTATATTTGAAAAGTCCAGTGAATTAAGTTTTCAACCAAAAATTGAAGGAAACAGGTATTGTATACCAAGACTGAGCATTAGACTTATATACGGCACACATTTAACTTAATTGACAATATTTTTATTTAATTCTCATTTGATTAATAGTTTTCATATAAGAGTTACATTCTTTGTCCGCGACTTTCCGCTGTCTGTCAACCGGATTGAGACAAATGTTTTGTGTCTTCTCTTTAACGTTGGAATCAATGAATACGCGACTCTCGCAGAGACGTAACTATAGATATAATTATTATTGATTATGAATTTGTTTTTAATTACTTTAATAACATTTCCATTGACAACAGTTTAGGTTCAGTGAAACTGCAAGATTCTATAAATAAAGAAAACTATTCACTGTTAGACGCCTATGTGAACAGATATTGGGCTAACAATGCATTAGTGGTCTCACATATGAGTGCCCTTAAGGGCGAGATTTGGTCAAATAGGGCCAAAAACATCCGTATTTTCCATTTGACACAACAAGTGGTGGAATGCGTTGAAGGCATTCGCTTTACGAGCTGTAAGAGCGCTAAAGACAGGACTTCGATGGCCGTCACTCTAGAAGAGGCCCGACTTTGCGCTCAACTTTTCGACATTAACGAAGTGCACGAAATGCAATGGTTTCAGACTATTGTCGACACTCTTAGAAGGTATTCATATTAAAGTGTTTATCATTGAAAACTCATTGAATGATTGATTTTCATGCGAACAGTGAGGGCACCCGAAGGGAGAACACCAAGAAGAATGTAGGCGTTGCTAAGTATGCCTTCAATTCGCTACAACTCATGACATTTCCCAAACTGTTGAGAGCACCGAACGGCACCTACTCTTCAATTGAGACTTAATTTCTTACTTTGATTAACCGGTTCATTGTTACCGTAATACAAATGTTACGCAATTATAATATAATTACTTTATTTAATCATATACTTATGCTTTGTATATTTAAAATAACTTAAATTTTCTAAGTCAAAACTATTTGTTGGCTAAATTCATTATATAATCAGTGCCAAATATATTATAAATTTATATTTTTATCTATAATTTAAAGATTTTACAGTTATGTTTAGTTTTACATTCATTATGAGATATAAAAGAGATTTAAGTTTTGATGAAATTTTAATTTAATAAACAAATCAATTGAATTCATTTAAACATGTATTCAATGAAGTATGAGTTGTGATAAGTCTGCAACAAGTGCTGTTTGCGTGTCTGTGTCTCTAACTGTTGGCATTGATGTCTCTGATGGGGTCTTTGACCGGAGAACTAATAGGTGTAGAATTGGATGACCTGTTGTTGAGGGATGAGTTACGGCTCAGTGAGGAGTTTGTGGTCACGATATTACGACAAGAGGCCAGCTTTGACTCCAATGCTCCCACTTTTCGCAGTAAATCACTCACTATATTGAGGGCAGATATACGGGTCGACGGCGACAGTAATGGCAGCGGTTGTGTGGGCGGGCACTGAGAGGCTACCGAAGGGGAGGTTGGGTTGGAAATGGATCGACTCATGTAATTAAGTCTCGTTTGTTTGATAGGAGTGCCGTTTGTTTGGGTCTCGCAGTGACTCACGTTTACACTATTACTCCGAACCTTATGGTTATTATTATTGTTATTATTGTTATTATTATTGCAGTTATTGTTATTATTAATCGAGTTATCCATCGATAGCTTATGTCTCTTATCGGTGTTGGGGTCGACCTTCTGCTGAACCATAAGCTCTTGTCTGAGATCTCTTGCCTCGTCTTTGAGCCGTTGGATCACTTCCTGGAGCTCTTCCTTCTCTCCGATCTCGTTCTCCAGCAAAACGTTGCGTTCAATCTGTTGGTTGAGTCGGGAGTCGAAGTCCTGGAGAGTGGCGTCGAGAGCCCTCTTAGCCCTCTCGAGGTCATCGTTGGACTGTTCCAGTTCTCGGATGTAAGACGTGAGCCGATCATTGGCTGAATGCAGTTCCGCCGCTTCCTTCTGGAGCTCAAGGATTTGGTTCTGACTTTCGACCGATAGTTTGGCGAACTTTGCTTTCAGGGACTCGTTGTCCGACTCGAGCCGTGAGTTCTGTTGAGACAACTCTTGGATCCGTTTCTCCGACTGATTCAGTTGTGCCTCCAATTCGGCCTCCAATTCATGGCTCGACTCCTGGAACTCCTCCAACTCTGACTGATATTCAGACACTCTGTACAGACAACACAGACATTGGTTAACACATGGTATGCAAAGGACACTCATTTGGCTCAACAATACCTTCTTCTTAAGTACAGCACCTCTTCCTCAGGAGAATCAAACGTAAGGTCTGAATCTGATCCGCAATTATTCGCCATTTTTGACATTCATTCACAAAATACTCATCGATTTCAAAGACAAACCAATTGTTGAGACATTAAAGAGATTCAGTGAACAAATGGCGAAGAATTGTGTGAAATGTTATGAAAACAAATAATCAATGCTTTCAATGAGTCTTATGTCCAATAAATACACCGAATATTCATTTAAAGCGAAAATATGGCAAAAATCAAAACAAACCATTGAATCGAAAATAAACTGTTATTTCAGTAATCATTGAATTCTTGACTCAAATTACATATAAATAATGTGTTTTGCATTCAACGCCCCAAACAGGAGTCTAACGTATATTTCACGCATCACTTCAACTCTCACTGAAGACATCATTTGTGGCGATCGACACAAATATTTGGCATTTTTTGCCTTAAATAGAAAGAGAGAGAGAGAGAGAGAGAAAGAGAGAGAGAGAGGGAGAGAGAGAGCAATGAATGTGTGAATGAGTGAGTGTTTGGTGGACTCAGCATTCAATGCATTCAATGCACTACACCTACTGTTCACTACATATTGTTGTACAGCACAGGCTATTGATTGGTGTAAATGTGATTGCATTGCATTGACTGACAGTTGACGTGTGGTTTGTGGTAAACCAGTGGTCGTATCGCAAACATCAATCAATACAATGAACATCACTGTTAATACACTGAATATCATAAATTAATATATCATTGTTTGCAATCCATTCATTGCCACTCATTGTAGTTAATTCATTCATTTACTAATGTAATTAGAATAATATTATACTCTATATGAAAATAAGACCAAGCTGCATTTGATGTTAGTTGATAATACAGATTAATAGAGTAACTGGAAAAATATTTCCATTACTGTATTCAATACATACAATATTGAGTAGACTATATCGGCTGTAATAATATGATATTTGGCATACTTTTGGATACTGATAGACAATCGTAAATCTAACCAAAAACTTTTCAAAACTCACTATAATGTATCTATAATCATATTTGAACAGTACAACGATTTATAGGTACCCGGAATCATGAAATAAGCAAATTTATTTAATATGTCAATACTTAAAAATTATATTTTATAACTTTTTATTATTTGGGCATATTTGTGTTCAAGTATTCATAATACACTGTAAACATTTTCAAATTCATAAATCTACTTGTAAACTACCTAATTTATATAAGTTTAAATTAATTTAATCAAATTAATATTATTTAAATAACTAAACTAGTTAGTGGTTAATGGTTATTTTAACCTAGGTTATCTAAACTAGTAGTGTAATATTGTGCAGTATTTCTAATGACAGCAATGCAGTGAACAGTCAATGACTGGTCACATGACTCCCATATGACTTGTGTTTACTATTTGTGTTAAAGTTTGAATCACTTGTAATGTCATGACATGTGCTTTCATTTGATGTGACCTTTAAATTGACTATAATTTAGTGTACGTTATATACAAACCAATCAAATGTATAGCAATTATGTAAAGGAATTGACTTTTTGTCGATTCATTCAATTAAGACAACAACTCATTACCGAAAGCATTATTTGTAGGAAAAAGTGGACAAAAAGTGATGAAAGAAATGATAAATTAGATAATATTTGTGGCAAAAGTCATGCATTGAAAGCGAAAAGCATTTCTAATAAACCAATGAATCCATTGAATCACACAAATGAAGACAATATGAGATTCAATGCATTAGGCATTCAAATGCTTCCCAAAGGTTTACATGAAAAGATCTTTGGATCTAATGCTGGAAAGGATGTGAATAGTGGTGACCACCAAAAGATGAATGAAATAATTAGACAATTAAAAGCTCACGGATTCAGTGCTCGTAATATAAAAGCAAACAAACTCTTGAATGCCATTAATGTCGACAAATATTTACCAAAGTTTTTGTCCAATGATTTGTCGCAACATTTCCTACTATTGGGACAACAGTTCTCTCAGACATATAAAGAGCTGTCAAATGACTTAATGGTCACTCAATTGCCACATAAACCCTTTGAATGGCTTTTGACAGAAGGTTGGACTCGATATACGACAGACTCGACTGGTGTGACAGTCACTCAACGAGTAGACCATCCCTTGGAAAGTGATTTAGTGTTTGATGTGGAGGTCTGTATGAATGACAGCGACGGACAGAGACCTACTTTGGCGACAGCGGTCTCATCGAAGGCCTGGTATTCGTGGTGTAGTCGACGACTGATAGACTCGTCCAATAAAATTTCGTTCAACTCTCGGACAACCCTCGAGGACATGATTCCGATGGGAAGTGCTGTGACTGAATCGAGACTAATAGTGGGCCATAACATCAGTTTCGACCGCTCGTACATCAAAGAGCAGTACGAGATAAGAGCCGACAAAACCAGGTTTTTGGACACTATGAGTCTTCATATGTGTGTCTCCGGACTCACTCAACATCAGAGAGCGCTCTCTTACTCTCAAAAGATATCAACTGAAGAGAACTCTGGCAATGAGTCTCATATGTGGAGTGGAATCGGATCTCTGAATAATTTGGTTGATGTCTATCATCTCTATTGTGATGATAATCAACACATATCTAAAGACCCGCGAAATATATTTATAAAGGGATCGATTGGTGATGTTTTGGACAATTTTCAGGAACTAATGACTTACTGTGCAAATGATGTTCAAATAACTCACAAAGTCTTCAAATCTGTTTATCCAATATATTTGGAGAGATTCCCACATCCGATCACTTTCATGGGAATGTTGGAGATGTCTGTCATGTATTTACCGGTCAATCCACACAATTGGATCCGTTATGTCTCGGAGAGCGACGCCATATATGATGGCGAGGAAAGGGAACTCAACTTATCTTTGCGTGAAATAGCAAACGATAGCTGTTCTCTGGCTATTGATAGACAATATGCTAGCGATGTCTGGCTCTGGGATTTAGACTGGACTACAGATACCTTAAGATTTAAAAAACCCAAAACAGAATCCATTAGGAAAAGAGCGAACAAAAGTAATATTCCCGAAGAAATACCAATAATTGAGAGCAAGGATCAGATCCCTATGAGTGAAAGTGTGTCCAAAATGTTTGCTACGAGTTCTTTGTTGAAGAAAGTACAGCCATTATTACCTGGATATCCCAAATGGTATCTCGAGTTTTGTTCTAGATTTAAGTATGACTTTAATGGTGACACTGAAGCAACTGCTGAGGACTTGGAGTGGGAATCAGGACCTTATCGTATAAGCACTCAAATGCGTTCAGTTCCCAAACTGATGCGACTCATGTGGAATGGATATCCCCTCCATTTCGATGAGAAGTACGGCTGGGGTTACCTTAAGCCCCATATTACGGCTCATGAGTGTCCCGATAGAGTAGAGGGAGGTATTGATGATAAGAAAAATACAATTTATTTTCCTATGAAAGAGTTTCGAGAACTAATAAGTAGAAGACAAACGCCTTCAAAACCATTGGGTTTAAAGCAAATGTGTGACACATTTGCTGACATTGGCAATGAAACCGAAATGAAATCTGAAAACACAAAAGCTTTCGATGATGTGATTAAAGGCTGTTTGTTCTATAAGTTGCCGCATAAGGGAGGGCCCGATAAAAGAGTCGGCAATCCTTTATCAAAGGTATGTTCACTCGTCAACTAAAATGAAAGCATAGAAAACATGGTTTGGGTGTTTATACCAATAGAACCATGGTTTGATATAAATGAAATTAATTTATAAACAATAAATTATACAGTATCATACTGTATCCTAAAGTAGCTTACTTGTTAGTTCATAGTACAGTATAATATGAACTTCATAGCAGTAGATTTAGATAAGTGAAATATGAATCCATTTGTTTTCTATATTAAAAGTTATACCGTACTATTAATTGATTAGTTTTCTATGTTATGAACACATTTACGGGAATGAAATGAAATCTATGAAAAAGTTATATTGTTGTGATTTTGTGAGTTAAATGTGACTAAATTGAATTGAATTAATGTGTTGAATAGGATTTTCTAAAGAGAGTAGAGGACGGGTCGTTGACATCACTGGACACTGAAATCACAAATTCAGTGCTCAATCAAAGCAAAAGGCTCTCGTACTGGAAGAACGCTTCGAAGCGGATTCGGTCGCAAATTGTCATGTCATGTGATAATGGCATCAGTGGTGCAATTCTGCCCAGAGTTATAGTGGCCGGAACTGTGACCAGACGGGCTGTCGAGCCCACGTGGTTAACGGCCAGTAATGTGGTCACCGATAGGTTGGGCAGTGAACTCAAGTCTATGATTCAATGTCCTGAAGGCTATCATTATGTGGGCGCAGACGTCGATTCTCAAGAGCTTTGGATCGCATCTCTTATAGGAGACTCTCATTATTCTGGAATACATGGGTCGACAGGAATCGGATGGATGACCCTCGAGGGCAACAAAGTGAACGGCACTGATATGCACAGCAAAACTGCCGCTTCTATTAACATCACCAGAGATGAGGCAAAGGTATTGAATTACGCGCGAATCTATGGCGCCGGACAACCATTCGCCTCCCGATTCCTCATGCAATCCAATCCATCTCTCGATACCAAAGAAGCCAAAGAAAAGGCCAAAAAGATTTTCACTGAAACCAAAGGCACACGAAAAAAGTTATTGAGAAGCGATGGAAATGGTGGGAGTGGTGGGGGTGGCAGTGGACACAGGCAATGGGTCGGCGGCACTGAATCTCATATGTTCAACAAACTCGAAGAGATCGCAGAGTCATCGGAACCGAGAACTCCAGTCCTCGGCTGTCGTATAAGCAGAGCATTGGAGCCACAAGTGGTGAAAGACAGTTACATGACATCCAGAGTCAATTGGGTAGTGCAGTCGTCTGGTGTGGACTTCTTGCACATAATGTTAGTCACAATGAAGTGGTTAATGAGTGAAATGCAAATCGACGGCCGATTCTCTATAAGCATTCACGACGAGCTCCGGTATTTGGTCCGCAGTGAACACAGATATAAGGCTGCGTTAGCCCTACAACTGTCCAATCTCTTGACCCGATGTCTGTTTGCGCACAAACTTGGTTTCAATGATCTGCCCCTTTCTGTCGCATTCTTCTCCAGTGTAGACATCGATAAGTGTCTGCGAAAAGAAGTCAACATTGATTCAAACACTCCGTCCAACCCTCTGGGCCTTCAAGTGGGATACGGCATCCCTTTCGGCCAATCCCTCGATATATTGCAATTGATTCACAAAATTGATGAAATCTAATGACTATCTAATCAAATAAAACTTTTATTACATTCATGTGTTACCCCTCTATTAGCATAACGTTGTTTATGAGTGGAGTGTCCTGTCATTCATGAACGGGAGCTCTTTGTATGCAATGAGTCATAGTGTGAGCGAACAACTCATGCGAGCGTTTGCCGGCATTTAAATCGTTAAAAGTCTTCACCTTTTCTGAAGATTCAACGGTAAGACTGAGTGTATGAATGGTATGAATGTCTGTGTGATTACATGCATTGCAATGAATGCTCGCATTGTCCCCGAAGTGGTGACACTGGAGTCCAGTCTGTGTCTGTCGTTCATTGCATACCACAGTGTAGTGTATAGGAGACAGAGGTTACGCCCATTGGCTCCGACACTGTTGGCTGAGCCCGAGCCACTACAGTCTAGTCTACCTGTGTGAACAGACTGCTACTCCCTGTGCCCACAGACTGCTACTCCCTGTGCCATCATATCATATCTGACTGCTTATCAAAACTTGTTATATTAATCCGCAAAACAATACTTATCTCTACTTTATATTCACAACTAGTGGTCACCACAACAATTGATCCGATACTCCATTCATTGAATGTAAGTCTCATTGAAATACTTTTTTCTATCAAACTTTATTTGATGCAAACTTTTTGGTCAAACACTCGCAGTCTCTCATCACTTGATTTACATATAGTTATCACTCACTAATCATTTATTGATTGATATCTATAAATACAGTTAAATGACTATTAATGTTATATTATGAGACCATTAGTCGCATATATGATATGGTAAATTTAGTAGTAAAGGTAGCAATGTGAATTAAATGATTTGGCCTTTCGTGCCATTAATGCCATAAATGATTGACTTTTGTAGTGTATATGGTATATACAGGTAATGATACAGACATTGTATGATATAACATATAAAAAGTTTAATTAAAGCATTGTTTGTTTCAATGAGGAACAGGTTGTCTCTCACCTGTTGTTTGCAACAATCAGTTTGTTTGATACAACTATTACTAGATATTAGATATACAATCATTAGATGCTTTCCATGTCCTGAGCAGTACAGTATGCATACAGTACTCATTTGACAGTACATGCAGAATGCAATGCTATTCATATGAATAAATGCAATACATTGCTGTGAATGACTAATTGTGAACAGTATTTGTGCCAATTTGTGACCAATTTATCTATTATTAGATTTGAATTGTATTTGACATTATGTTGTGTTGTGTTTGACGGACAGATCTATTGTTTGGACCAATTGACGGACCGTTGGCTTCAATAATGTTTAAGTTTATGCGAGGAAAGGGAGGTCAGGCCGGTGCTGATCGCGTTAAACTACAGAAAGAATTGTTTGCTTTCAATAAAGTGAGTCACCATTTGATCATTGAATTGATATATAAATTTATTTTATACAGTAATACTCTAATCATCTAATATTACTTATATTTGATAAATTATTATAAGTTGTTTTCAAATGACTTACACTTGACATCACTTGCGAGTGATCAATGTTTTGAGATATGATTTGATTTGCAAGTATTGTTTGCCTCTTATAACTGCAAATAACAGTTATATAACGGAAATCATTAATAACTTTAAATTGCATCAATGTATTGATGCTTCAGTTTTATGTAATTCTAGACTATTATTTAGCCCCCATTTCCAGAATAGTTTATAAACTATTCATTCAGTCGTCGCTATTATAAAGATGTTTTTAAAATAATTCAATAACTATCTCTTTAATATCTATATTTGACCGCTAATTGAGACTACGGTGCCTATATTAATTTATTTTAATAATTAAATACTGTAACAAATTTAATTATTGTTATATAACTTATATTGTATGCTTGCAATTAACATAACATCATGGTGATTTTGTTGCTACCATGGCAGTGCAGACATGTATTTATTATTGTTGATATAATTGTCTCTAAATTCCTTTTGTTTTTATTAAAAAGTTATAAATATTTTAATATCCTTTAATACAAAACATGCGAATTAATAAAATGTCATAAATACCATATTTATAAATGGTATACAATAATAATATTACGGTACATTTAGTACCATATCTATAAATAAAGTTTTTGAATGTTTTTATAAACATTTGAACTATCAAGAATATTTGTATTTAGTTTTGTATTTTAAGGTAATTTTAAATTACTAATTTATTAACAAATACAACTTTAGTCTTGAGGTTGAATATTAGACATTTATACTAGAAAATTATTAAATTTTAAATCAAATAGTTAATAAATTACCTTAAAATACAAAACTAAATAATACAAATATTCTTTAAATAATTTTTTTAATAATTTATATATTCATTTAATGTTCATATTTTGTAATAACTCCGGATGAAAGCTTTGTTTAGGATCCAAAGTACTCGAGTTTAATAATAAATATCATTAAATGATCACTAAGTCTAAAGAGTTATTTCATATTATACTTAATTTTTTTAATATTTAAATTTTTTAACATTAAATTAATTTTTATTAAAATAATTACTCGTAGACTGGGACTCATGGCTTTCCTCATTATCCCAGTGCTTTGGCTTATGATTATGAGTTGGGATTACTCGCTATCGGCACACGAAGTGGTTTACTTCGGGTTTATGGAGCACCGGGTGTCGAGTTTTACGCTCAACTCGAAACTGAGACCGAAATCAGACAAATTGTGTTCATTGAGAAGAGGGCTCAACTCATAACCCTTTCCGCTGATAGTTCTCTGCATTTATGGGAAATCAATACCAAAAC